TGTACTTCAATATATTCGAGAAGGGGATGTGGATACCAAGGAGCTTGTCTAGAAACTTTAACAAAATCATCAAAACGTTTAACTTTTCAACACTTTATAACGATAAGCTTGAATCAGGGCTTTTTGATATAATATAGACAGCTGGATTTGCAATAAAAATGGAATTCATAGATTAACTTACTTTGTAATTTTTCATTTGCATATTTAAAAAAAAATATTCTGATTAATTAGACCATTTATTGAACTTTTTAAAGGCTCTTGACGCGTGTTATTGGTCGAAAATTTAATTTTTACTCATCCTAGGCAGTGGCCACCTGTTTTCAACTCTGATGTTTCCCCAGCGGAGTTCTATTTTATGTCTTGTTCACAGACTGTTATGCTGTAGAATTAAAAATATTTTATTTTATTTTTGCTTAAAATAACTGGAGAAGATTATCTCGTTATAAGGAGACAGATTTACAGACGATTTTATTACACATTTAACTCCGTTCTTTTAACTAATGTAAGTAGAAGTAAGTTTCTTATTGTGTGTGTGTGTTTTTTTTTAAATATACTTAAAGGTAATATATTTTTACTTCTTGATACAAACACAGCAATTTTTTTTTTTGGGGGGAGGGTATCCGCACTTCAATAATATTTACCATAGTAATTGTTGTGTGAAGAAAAAGAGGGGTGCTAACTCTCCCTTTATAATCGCAAAAAAAAAAGAAACCAGCTTTATAGAAACAAGAAAGATAATTCTGAAAAAGCCAACTGACAATAATGAAATCATCTTTTCCGACCAAATTATTCATTCCTTGGAATTTATTTAAACATAGAAATACTGACCTTTTTCATTAATTTTAAGGTAGGTTAAAGAGGCTTATACATTATTTTTTCGGCGAAATATCAGGGAAATGTGCATTTTTGAATCCATATTTAACACGTGTATTCAATTTAATAATGATCTCAGTTAAATTACCGATCAACACGAAATACGATTATCTTTCTTTCAGTAGAGTTCACTCAGACTGGAAATTTACATTACTCGCATTAAAGACTCTAAAAAGGACGCTGATTATCAATTTCTTTTACATCATTTCTGTGATCCACAAAATCGGTTATTTTTTTTTATTTTCAATATTGCTTATCATTAAAATTGATAAGTACTATATTACAAACAACATTAATGATTAATTAATTTATTTTAAGAATTATTTTTGAAAGTGATTGATAAATATTCTTTTTTATATATTGTTTTAGGTCACTTTAATACCAATGCTCTCTACATCATATATGCCATATCTCAAAATAAGTCTTTTGAAAAAAATTGTTACACAAACTTTTCAGATTCATATTTACATTTTAGCTATTTATAAACTTCTGACGTTCTACGAAGAGATTAAATGATTATAAAGATAATTGCTAATTGTTGATTACAGCAACCTAATGGGTGAAAATATCAAAAAAATAATTTATAAGGCACGGAAAAGTGGCATAAAATATAATAAAAATCAACATACAAACCTCTTTATGTATCAAACATGATAAATAATGACGATGTACAAAAAAATTAAAATAAAATAAAAATTTTGCTAACAAAAACGCTGTAAAAAAATACATACTGTAAAACACAACTTCTTAAAATCATGTATTAAAAGTGTCGATATATTAGGTTATAACCTTATCACTGTAATGCTGAAGAAATGGGGTAAGAATTAACTTTACGAGTCAGTGGCTATCACGTTTCTAAATTTCAGAAAAATCTAAGACAGAAAAAAAGAGTTTTATAATTTTACAGGGCGGGAAACACGTTACTCAACGTTGAACCTACGTCGTATGACATCGTAACTAGTGAATGTCTTTAGTAGCCTGTGTTAGATCCATTGTGACGTCATAATTATTTCATGTCTTTTTTCCTGTAATTTACAGCTTCAATAAAATTGTATTTTGAAATTAACAGAATTCAATTTAAATCATACCAAGATAATCTTAATTCAATTTATATATTTTTTTTGTTATAAAGCTTTATGACAATATATTTCTTGAATTAGAGAAACCTGTAGGCACCTTTCATTTACTCAATCTTTACCTAAATTAAGTCGACTAATCCAAGACTAAATCTCGTGTAATGAAATTACAATGTATACAACTTATTGTAATAATGTGATGGTTTGTAACTATTTTGAAGGAATGCAAAAATCTGAAGAAATCTTCAGTTGTCAACTAAATAATATAATATCTTGATAAAATGTGTCTAAGTCAAATATGTACATGTTGTAGATTGTGTGTACATTTTGTGATGTCTATTATGAAATGATGTGCATTCCTTTTCATAATTATTTGTTACTTATCATATTCTTGGTGTTTGATTACAATTTTTCTATTAAATACGATCTTTTTAAATAAAAAAAATACAATTTAGGACATAGGAGTGTATATACATATATCTCAGTTGATTCAATACGCAAGAGCATGCTCTAAGTTTGAATAATTTCTAAAACGAGATAAATTATTGACAAGCAATTTTGATGAAACAAGAATATCAGCAGTCTCGTTTAAAGTCATCATTTAGTACGTTATATGGTAAATACAATGACCTTGTCAGCATTAAATACAATGACAAGATATATCAACAATGTATTGTCAATCAACAACGATTATTTCCATACATATGTTGATAAGATATATTCTGGAGAGTTTGGAAAAAGAATACCGGTACCACAGAGTCTGACGCATGTGCTTCAAATTTGGATATTTCACTAGAAAAAGACGTTAATGTTAATCTAACAACTAATCTTTAAGATAAACGTGATGACTTTAAATTTTCAACTTAGCTTCCCTTTCCTATGCAGCAATATACCTTTATTACCTGTAAACGGGTATTATATCTCTTAGTTGATTCAATACGTGAGAGCATGTCCTACGCTAGAATAATTTCTAAATAGAAGTTAAGTTATTGATCCACCTCTGATGTTTCGGAGGTCCATGTTTGCTCTGCGTCTATTTTGTATTGTTTTATGGACTTTGATATTGAATACTGTTCGTTATCTCCATTATGTATCTTCTGAATCAGGAAAAATCTTCGGATGAAAAGGGGTGGGGCGTGCAAAAAGTATCGTATTAATCTCCCTTAAGTTATAGAAATTAAGATTAAATAAAGTTTTTTTGAGGTACTTCGATCCTCACCTAGGAAGGGTAACTCTTTAATTCATGATTTAATTCAAAAAGTCTTAAAACTAAGCTTAAAAATTAAATCTTTTCGCGAAATAACGACCACTATTGAAATAATTATGTCAATAGTTGTTGAGAGTGCATTTCAATAGCTGACATAGTTAGTAACCACTATCGAAATACGACCACTATTGAAATAATTATATCAATAGTGGTTGAGAGTGCATTTCAATAACAGACATAGTTAGTAACCACTATTGAAATACGAGCACTAATAAAATCAATATTTCAATAGTTTCAATCACTATTGAAATACGAGCACTACTGAAATAATTATTTAATAGTGGGTGAGAGTGCATTTCTATATAATAACCGTAGGTTTCAACCACTATTGAAATACGAGCACTACTGAAATAATTATTTAATAGTGGGTGAGACTTCAATTCAATATGGTAACCATAGGTTTCAACTACTATTGAAATACTACCAGTATTGAAGGAAATGTTTCACCACGTCAGCAACTTTTGAAATAATTATTTCAATATATATTGGATTCATTGTTCAAAGCACTACTGAAATCAATAATTTTATCCATATTGAAATCTTTATTTCAAAAGTGAACATTATTTCAATAGTGGTTATTACCTATGTTTTTATTGAAATGCACTCTCAACCACCAATGAAATAATTATTTCAATAGTGGTTGTATTTCAATAGTGGTTATTACCTATGTTTGTCATTGAAATGCACTCTCAACCACTACTCATATAATTATTTCAATAGTGGTCGTTATCTAATAGTGGTTGCAACAAAGAGATAATGAAAGTTGAAATTTTTACCCCATAAAAGCATTTTAAAATAGCATATTTAAGGAAATTGCGGTTGTTTTAATCTAACCACAGATACCAATGTTTATTAATATGATATGAAATTAGAATCTATTTATGGTGTTTTGCAATGATAGGAAAATCTTGATACATTATGCATTATTGTAGCAGAAACTAAAATCGTATAAAGATTGTGCAATTTCTTCAAAAGCCTGGATAACTATGATTTTTATTTGTAAACTGTGTTTGTTGTTAAAAATTGAATAGGAAAATGCATAGTAGTTTTTTGATTTGCATTTCCTGAAAACTTATTTGAGATTTACTAATATTCCCTTTATAATATGATTTATTTTAAACATGAAGTTTGGAGATTTACCGTGGGTTAAATTACATTACTTTGAGATTTAAGAGACATTTTTGTGAGCATTTCCAAATAGTATATGCCTCATTTTCAGAATCTGAGGATCGGAGTATCTTAAATCTTCGCGTAACATATTTCTGTCTCAACAGATTACAATTTACACTTAGACTATAAATTATAAATTTTATAATTATTTATTATCTTCAAGATTTTAATGAAGCAATAATTGAGTCGTCCTAAAAACTTAAAAATACACCGCTCGACAGATATTGGGTAACAGGATATGGCAAGTAACACAAGGCTCAAAATATGCATATTGGGAAAATAAAATTTTGATTTGATTCTATAAAACACAATAATAATGACGTTTCCAGCAAGGATTTGAAACTGATGACTTAATCAGCATAATGAATTATTGAATTGATTAAGAAATTTGAATGAATAATTAAAAATGACTTATTTTTTAAATAAATCAAAAAATTAATAGAAATTACCTTCAATCGTTAAAGATATATAAATAACACACCAATCTACGGATTCAAAATATTTCACAATGGCTCGTTAATTGATTTAAATAGCCAATTAAATTTTTTATTGGAAAAAATCCATATTTGTACCGTTTTCAGCATTTTATTAATTGAAAACACGACGAAGATGCCTTTAAGTATTGATATTTATTTTAACAATTAACACCATGTCATCACCAGAGCTTTACGTGGGTTCAATCCCTTAGTAGACCTGCAAAATATGGATAAAATAATATATATGTGTATGTGTCCTTTTTATGATCTTTAATGTGATATGTAGTTATTATATTAAAAATAAATAACTATGAAGGAAAAATATAACTAGCTTAAATTATTTCTTCAACACACAATTGAAAAAAGACTTTTAAATGCTATTACGATCTTACCTTGCTGTGTCTTCTTCTGAAACTACGTCTTGATCCTCCAAGGAAGATTCCGTCATAAATTCCATTAAATCCTCCAAATCCACCTACAGAAGAAGCACCAGCGGAAGCAGCAGAGCTTCCACCGATAGCAGAAGCACTAGCAGCAGCAGACGATCCACCTCCAAGACCATAGTAAGGGGCGTAGTTATTGTAGATAGGGAAGTTGTTGTAGAAGTTTCCTGGGTAGGTGAAGTATTGGCCAAAGTTTCCATATTGGCCTGGGAAATTGTAGAAATATCCTGGTTGATTGTAGTAGTATGGGGCAATGTTAAATCCAAAACCTCCGTTGGCGGCAGCAGCAGATGAAGCAGCTGCTCCATTGGCAGCAGCAGCGGCGGCAGAGGCAGCGGCACTTTGTCCTGCGGCGGCTGCGCTAGCAGCAGCGGCAGCATCTCCGGCGGCAGCAGCGCTTGCAGCAGCAGATCCACCTCCGAGACCGAACAATCCTGTGTTGAGACCCCCGGTGCTGACGAATCCGGTGTTTAATCCTCCACTTGTAGAGCTGACTATTCCTCCAAAGTTTCCATAGGGACCTTGAGAGTGGACACCGTATGTGCATCCGTATTTTCCACACCCACCATAGTAGTCATTTTTAGGGTAATATCCGCCCTTTGGGTAAGAGTCTGCGAAGACGCAGGCAACGATACAGACAAGGGAGGTGAGTCTCAACATTTTCTGTTGGAAAAAAGTTAAATGAATAATTCAGAATAAAATAATAAAAGCAATCATCATAATCTATTGCAAACTTTGACTTTTTTCCTACGTTAAGAACACACTATTTTTTAACAGCAGTCTGTTTCACTGTTGTGGTTTTTTTTCATTGCCGATTGCATTACCTGGTTTTAGTGATCTTTACAAGTCAACCACTGCTTGTACAGGTTTTAAAATTAACAGTGTTTATATACTTATTTAATGCTTGCGTCACACGGAAGGGTGATGAATATGATTAATTTCTTGTCTTAATTAATACCTAAAATTATTATTTTAAAAGGAAGCTTTTATGTGATTGACAGAATAGCATGAATTAATAATTCAAAATTTTGATAATTAAAGAAAAAAGTTGCGAAATGCCAAATCTTTATAAATTATGCGATGCGTACCTCATAAAAGTATAAAAAGATAAAAAAGATAATTAATATATGTAGTTTGTAAAAGAACATTTTGCTGCTTTTACGGATATTTTGCTGCACTTTTAATATCATTTTAAGATACTAACAAAAACAGACACAATAAAGGATTTCTGACATATGTGCTTGGAAGTAATTCTCATTGATTAATTAAAAAAATAATTGTATACTTTACCTTGAAAAAGCTTAGGATAACAGGGTTTGCTTTCTTATTCAAGTCTTGCTGTCCCTCCTTTTTCAGGAATATCTTGTTATAATGTCATTATATGGTGATAGGTGTCAGATTATCCAATATTTTGCCTAAGAAATGTTGCAATATATATTTGAGTCCATCTTTCTGACCCCCATTTTGTTAACTATTTTACTTCTCTCGTCATTTTCTTCAATCAATGACATTTTTTACGTTTACATGAATTTATTTGTTTTTGCCTGCCTTTAACAAAAAATGAATCTTTTGTTTTGCAGAATAATTAAGGAACAAAAAGAATGTTTTCTTTATTTTATCTTATTTTTTTAAATTTCTGTTTTTATTTACAAGTATATTCTATGAATAGTAATTGCCTGCAAATTTATGTTCGTTAATGAATTGAATTAATGTTGTTGATTGTCACTTCTCTGATATGTAAATTTGCCTGATATGTAAATTTAAGTTACGATTAAAGTATTCTTTGCTTAGGCGGTGAGCCACAAAATGCTTCATCGCACACTGAAGCAAAATAAATGAAACGTGTAATTCTTAGTAATTGCACAATACAGCTTTTAATTTCTAACCACTTATAAGTTAGGCCCTTAATATTTAAACTTATACATTTATTGTGACCCATGACCTTTTGATGCACGTAATAAAAACCATTGATACTTGTACAGGTAACGCTATTTCCTGGATTATTTTAAGTATCAGGAGGGTTGATTCGAGTGCAAAAAATCTCTTTTATAAATATAGTAAGATGACAGCTACATACAATAAATATGTTGATTTGATTGGATTTTTACAGTCTAAATCATACCTGTACGCTACTAATTTTATTTAATGTAATTTTAAGCATATGATAGCAGTGGCAATAAAGAAAATCAAATATCATGCTACTTATTTCAATTCTAAAGATAACATCATATTGTAACACGTGTAACAGATGACTTCAAACAATTAAGATATATAAAATAACGTCCAATATTATACAGTTATTGACTGGGTATGAGTGCAACATATGATTTGTTGGACCTGAAGGCGAAAATGTTGCCCTTGGCCTGCGGCCACGGACAACATTTTCACCTTTAGGTCAAACAAATCATATGTTGCCCGAATCCCAGTCTATAACTGTTTTGTTATACCCTTCAGTGCTCACTTAAGATTTAATCAATACGCACTATATTATTAATTACTTTATATGGAAAATTATGGCTTAATCAGTAAATATAAAACAATAGCTGAGAAAGAACAAATTAATTATATTTTCATTATATCACAAAAAATATTTATCACAAAACATACTCTTCCCTTCTTCCTTGCTAGTAGCAACAGCTCTTGCAGCTCTTAACTTCGGTTATTTCCATGTCGCCGATATTGAACGATGATTAATTACTTGTGACGTAGCAGTGACGTTCCAGTCTAACAATTCTTATGTTGGACCGACAGGCCGGTCAATAGTGAAATTATTAGACTGATATAATAAACATTTCTTTTGTGGGGCTTTTTGTTTGCAATAAATATAAAGAAAGCTATTTATAAGGGTATAACAAATTTAGTTAATAAAGGATTGAAAATATTTGTGAAAACATCGTAAATTTATCTGAATGTCGAATAGAAGGCCAGAGCTAGTGTTGCTTTCCTCTTCTAATGCAGAAGTTTTTCCAATAAATGTATTCAATGAATTAAATGCCCATCGAAATTCAATGGTTAGTTGAGAAACTTGATCTCCGAAGGCTGCATAAATGTTTGAGTGAGGATTTACAGCATCTCTTAGCATGAATTTACAATTTCAGAATACTTGTACGTACAATCAGCGTGATTTTTGATGGGAAATTTTGCAGAAAACCAATCACATGATGTGCAATAGTCCGTGTTTAATTCTTATTTAGATGCAGATGTCTATGATATCAAGAGGTCTAGATTTATTATTTATTGTGGTGAACTGTATAAAGTGTAGAAAAGTCGTAGCAAGTTTCTTAAAGTCTCTCGAGTCTCGATCCACATATAATTGACTACACCTCTAGAAACAGTTGTAGCATAGTAAACCTGAAGTTTCTCCTATACAGCAATTAAAAAAGTTTTGTAAGGATTTAAGATAAGGGATTGGTAGAGATTCGCTAGACCTAGCAATGCATCTTTGTTTGTACTAAGGATTTATCTGAACTTTCAAAAATTCAAAAGTTTAATAATTGTTTTTTTTTTTGTTACTCCATTAAAATAGAAAAAAATATTTATGATGCATTTATACGAATGGTCCGTGTAACACTTAACAATTCAAATTTGTTAAATGATTTTGAGTTTTAGAATGTTAATAAATGAATTCAAATATCTAAATTTTAAAAACTCAAACTAATTTGGAAGATTGAAATTTATTACAGTATTTTAATTCAAAAACCTAAATGTTAAATGTCCAAACAGGTTTTAAAATTTCAAAATTTGAGATTTTTACCTCAAATGTTCAAAATTCAAATTTCCAAAAACGATTTTTGTATTTTAGGCGTTTGAGTATTAAACCGTTTGTTCCAGAATTTTACATTTAACAATCTACATGTATATATATACATGCAGTTCAGTAGCATTTTTCGTCTTTTGATTATTTTAAAATTAACTTCGAACTTCTAAATTTCAATTTTATAACGTTTTAGATATTGATTCAGATGTTCTAATTTCAAATAACCAAAACAGTTTTTAGTTGAGTTTTTAGAATTTTACTATAAATATCCATAATATCAAATTTCCAAGCCCGATTTGAAATTCAAATATCCGTTTAATAGTTGAACTATCGAAAAGCTCTTTTGCTTAACCAAAATAGTTCTTGAAATAGTTAAAAAATTCAAACCAGGTCTGGAATTTGATATTTCAGATATTAGAAGTAAAATTCTAAAATCTTAAAGTGGGTTTAAATCAAATTTCCAAATATCTAAAAATCTAAAACGTTTTGAAAGTTGAAATTTAGAAGTTTGAATTTAATTTTAAAATAGAAAAGAAGTAAAATGATTCTGAACTTTAGTTTGTTAAATGTAAACTTTCTGAGCAAACAATAGCTTAAAAACTCAAAAGTTTAAAATAAAAGAATTGCTTTTGGAAATTTGAATTTTGAATATTTAAGGTAAAAATCTAGAATATCAAAATTTTAAAACCTGTTTGGAAATTTAAAAATTTAGATTATTAAACTAAAATATGAAATTTCAATTTATCAAAGCAGAAATTTAAATATTTAAACATTAAATTCACATTTTAAAACTTAAAATCATTTTAGAAATTTGAAGTGTTAAGTGTTACACGGACCAAGAATATGTATTGCAACGTGTTAGCGACTCTACCATTCTATTCACGCATGTGTACATATAGAAAACAAAACAACATGACATGTAAAAGATGTGTAGGTCTGCCAGATAAATGGCAGAGTCAGCCATAGCATCACTGAAAACCCTGAGTAGAATTAGAATAAGCTTATTTCCTGGTCAAATCTTATTACGGAAATAATGAAGTGTTAATTTTCTGATCTGAGTGACAAAAACGAAGTGGGGAGCAAACACCTAGCAGAAAAAACTAAGAATTAGCGAACCTTATCTTATAAGATACTTTCACAAAAAGATCGAAATTAAATCTATGAAAATTAATATAAATGCCTGTATTTCATCGTGCCCGAACATAAATCACGGAGAAAGATGTGTCTAAAGTAAGAAATATGCTTAATATACATTCATAAAAATAAATATGGTACGTTTATATAAGTAAGTTTTTCTAATTGTTCAACTAAAACTTCCTTTGTTCGGAATTGCATGTATTTATAATGCATTCAATAGATTGAACGACCTCTCTTCTAAACATTTGTAATGATTTTGTAGACCAAATTCGAATAACAACTACGGTTTATCTTTTCACATTATAATTTCTTTATTGTAATTGCAGCAATCGACATCATTATCATTGGCAAAGTTTTAAAGCGATAAGTTTTATCTTTTTTGTTAGTCAATGATCTTTCGTTGATCAACGTCAAACCTAGATGACGTAAACACATGAAGGTACTAATTCTGCGCCAAGTGTAAGTCATGTCTTTCAGATGAAACCTTAAAATAGTAGATGTTAAAACGATAAAGAATCGTCAGTGCTCAAATACGCCAAATTCTGAGCAAACTTCAATCGACGTTTCTTGATGAGGGAATGATTCACTGTTTTTGTGGGAAAGTAAAAATGTTGAGGAACTGTAACTAAGCTATCGTAGATAAAAACGCAATCAAAACTTATTTCCACATTACGAAACAACAAAACAATAGTACATGTACTACCCCTAGGTGCAGCAAAGTTAGAAAAAAAGTAATGATTTATTAACACTTTCTCAGATTTTTTGTTTTATATATACTTTTAAAGTTAGATAAAAGTTTATTTGTAATATAAATTAAAGTAGAAAATAGAAATGTATATTTTTAAGGAAGACCTAATATATATACTATTTTCCATGTATACGGTATAATATTCATTTCACGGGTAAATATCATATCGGGGTGATTTATTTTAAGGATCCAGCACTTGATTAATTAGATGTGTCCTTCTGCTTG